TTTCGTATTCTTTTTTAAGATTATTTTACTTATGCGCTATTCGGGTTCTATTGGTAACTGCTCTTTTTCCGCGTAGATCCCGACTGTTTGGTTGGTATTCTCGTAGACACTGTGAATTATTTGGCCTGTCCTCTAGTTTTCCTCTACCCTCATAAGATTAAAAAGTATTTCATATAAGGTAGAAGGCAAGCATCCCAAGACATGTAATTTCAAGGAAAGGCATCCTCTGGATGTTCTCGCACAACAAAATGCCGACGGAACATTACAAACGTCCGTTAACCGCAAAGACATGTATGCAGAAGTTATTCTTAACAAGAAGAGCAATGACCCCATCTCTCACAAAAGGAGTGCCGTCAACAGTCGGAGGTGCCGAACGAAGACACACTGCTCTGACGAAGACACATATCGAATCGACGTTAATTATCTATGTGATTTGTTTTCCAGCAATGGTTATCCCAGAGACTTTGTATGCCGATGCATGAGCCAACAACAAACCAATAAAAAGGAGCCAGATAGTTCTACCCAGGCGCCCAAAACAAACACATGGCGAATCCTTTCTTATATAAGGAATGTGTTTGAACTCGTTGAGAGGCACTTGCGGAAACATCAAATCAAAGTGGCGCACAAACCGATGGCTACTTTACGCACCGAACTAGTACACCCTGAGGATAGGGTTGGCTACCTCGATAAGAAAGAAGTCATCTACAAAATCCCATTTGAAGCTTGTGATACGGTATATTGCAGCCAAACAGGAAGACCCATTTGCACACGCATCCACGAGTACCGATTGGCAGGGAAGAGAAGTGACCGTTTGTCCGAAGTGGTTATGTATTGCCTTGACACATGAACACCTTTGCACGGGAAAAAAACGCATAGTCGGAGTTTGCTCCTCCGAAAAAACGCCGACGATTTTCTTGAAGCCATGCACTCCGATGATTCATGCATCAACCGACGTATCGAGTTGGCTGGAATGTAGAAACATCTCAAAGAAAGATGGAAGAGACTACAGCCCATAAATATGAACCAACATGTAACGCAATTAGCGCCCACACAGGATGACTCGGACCGACGCAAATTACAGTTGCCAATTATCCACTACGCCATTGCGACTACTTAGTATGTCCATCACAGCGTGAAGCAAATTGCAGCCACCAATCAGTGCCCACATTAAACGACTATATAACTTTACGAGCATTTTGAAATGTTCATTGTTCTTTGCACATCTTCTCGAGTCTGACGACGACCTGGTGATCCAGTGTTGAAAATTGACTGAATAAATTTTTTCTTATTTTTCCAAAGGATGCCTTTCCTTGAAATTAAAAGGTATCTTTGCTTGCATGTTTCTAAATGGCATCGAAACCCGCTGAGCCATCATCGATCAGGACTCTCACCTCCTGCTACGACATCTTTTTTATCGCTGTTGTCAAACCGGCTTCTACTCATCCGCTTATTCGGAAAAGGGTGTCACAATTCTGTCAAATCTGGGCCATAAGTTTGCACGTTGATAGTATGGTCCCAGTGTACAACTGGCGGTAGGACCAACAGACAGCCACAGCCTTTTGGCCGTAAAAGTTAAACTGGTGGTTTGTGGACACTGGGCCGAAAACCTGCTTTAAAAATAGAGCTCACCTACGGTATTCAATAGAGTAAATAAACCTCGACTTGTATTTTATTTATTTGCATCTTTTTCCACTTGACTAACATTCTATGGTTTTTAAAGATTTTAGCTTGTCTGGGCCGATTCTCCATTCCAACCCCGTGATGTAATTTGTGAGGGACAATGACGTGAACAGCCAGCTGGTCTTTCCTGTTGCTGGCGTTTGGTGAAAGGACTGTGTGGACACGCAAAATTAGACCGTTCAGCATATTCTTGCGCCAACTATTGGCCTTTTTAATAGAACTCCCGTGTGGAGCGATTATTATTAGCATTCAGGGAGGGGACAGTGTTTATCGCAGGGGGTTAAGTGAGTTAAACCCAGCAAATGCGATCTTCAGACCATGGTTACTTAGTGGAGAAGAAGTCAGTAAAGGCCAGAGTAGGAGGAAGAGTTTATTGTGTACACAGGACGGAACGAAAAATAGAC